ATCAGAAATCTAGATCAAAACGCAGGATTTTGCAAAGACATAGAATAAAAGTTTGTGCTTTTCAAAAAAATTATATTGATGTAGAGATTTTTACATGTCTTTCTGGCGGTAAACAGTTGTTTGTTCCTTGAATTCAGTTGCTTCAGTTAAAATCAATTAAACTTTTGTTCTAAAATCCCCTCAGTTTTTTGTTATTTTATTGATTGGCATTTTCAATGGCAACAAAAATAGTCAAAATAAAAATGTTTTAAGAGTTAAAAACCATGTTTCTCTTTCGGTCATCTATATGTTGCGGGTACAACAAGAACATTAACTAGTTTGACTTTTATAAATAATAAACATCCCATTTAATGCAGGGTAGATGAAAAATGTTACAAACATTGATATATATTGTTACGTTCTTTATATATTGTCTTAAAGGAATAACATAATTTTTAATGATCACTGATATCTGAACAAGTTTAGTTTGTTTAACAAAAGTTACTATTTTTAGGAGGTCTATAAGTATTATAAACTGGTTTGGCAAATGGTATGCGTGTTTGAAAACAAGGTTATTTAATAGTTTGTTTTTATAATTGATAATCATTCATTCCAAGTTTATTTTTATTTAATAAATATTACACAAATCAAATTGAATTTCTGAATATTATCAGTTATAGTTTCTCTAAAACAATTTTTTTTTTTGTTTTTTTTTAGTGATAATCAAAAGTAATACAAAATACAAACTTATGTCAACATCTCTCCCCTTCCCCCTTAACCCCACCAAATATTCCTAGATCTGTCTCTGATATTTACACTATGTTGTTTTTATACTTTAAAGGTGGTGTTACTTGGCAAAATATAGAGCAAAATTTTTATCAATGTCAGTCGAGCGGTGACACTAATTTTAGTGCCAAGTGGTGGGAATGTCTATTATTTTTTTAATGTAGACACTTTGGAACAAGGCTAAATATAACCTTTTTGATAGCATCTAAGTATTAATACCACATATGGTTACGTTACATCATTTTTATCAAAGTTACAAATTTTATTTTCTTTAGTAAAACCCATCAATTATCGTAATCAATTTAAAAAGATGTGTGTTATATTTATATATTTTAATTAAACAACAACTTTACACAAATCTACTTTGTTCTATACACTTCTTTTTCCTATACACTTTCTTTTTATTTCTTAAATTGCTTTCATATATTTTATGATATCGCGACTAATAAATTATTAATTAAAAGATTATTTTAAAGAAATATTTTTTAAAGAAATATTATAGGTTTTATATTAGTTACTAAACTAACTTTCAAGTAACTTATTATTAAGGTTTTATATAAACTTATATTATAAAAGTCTTATATAAACTTAAATTATTATAGTTTTATATAAATTGCCTTAATTTTTATTATACAAACTTAAACAGTCCCCAGTTAATTTTTTTTTTAGATGATTTTTTTATTAATTTGTTTTCCGTTAAAACATGATTTTAATTTAGAAAATTTATAAATGATATGAATTTTGAAAATAACACAAAGCTCTATTATTTATTATATGCCAATTTAAATTTATATAAGACTAATTTTCCTTACAGTTACATTATAAAATACAAACTTTTTGTGTCTAGATCGTTACTAAAGCTTCTGGAAAACTGAATCAGATGCCCATTATCCAGGTGGTTTTCTTAGGAATTTTTAAGACTTATTTTTGTCTACTTCTATGAAGACATAAAAAAAATGTGGTATCTAATATTTCTTTTAAACTGGTTAACTTTCACGCCACGAAATCTGTAAATACTGGCTAACTTTGTATATTCTTACATTGATCAATGAAGACACTCCGCCGTTTAAAACGGCTATGCAAAAAAAAAATGTTCATATAAAATTCAGAGATAAGTTTTGGTGTCAACATTCTTATTCAATTAATTCTTGAAATTTGACAAAAATCCAATAGCATAGCTTCTCTTGAATTCCAAGTGCAAATGATTTGGCCATTTTAAAACCGAAGACAATTTTAAAGATCACTTAATCATTTTAAACTTTTTTTCTCAAAGCTGTGCTGTAATTATCATTTAATTGTAAAAAACAGTAAATTATAATCATTTTTAAACTTTGTTCATGCGTAAAGTTTTAAATATAAGCGATTTAAGTATTAACAGTCACTGTGAACAACTAATTGATTTATGTTAAAAAATGTGAAATCTGTTAAACTTGGAGAACGCAAACTATCAATGTAATTGAAAAAATATATAATAATAAATGAAACAAACATTAAACTTGAGCTTTCTTTGATATTAAAAATGTAATAGAAATAACGATAAACTAAAATATTATTGTGTATCGTAATAAGGCAGTAAACCTTTTTATTTAATTTGTTTAATTTTATAATCTTTTCTTTATCTGTAAAAAACAATTATGTAATATATTTAAATATTTGTTTCTTTTTCAAAATTTCGCATTTGTTTTTACGTGGCATCACTAGTTTTTTGTTTAAGTTTTTTTTAATATTAAGTTCATATTACTTCTTATATTAAATTGATAATTACACAACATAAGGATCTATTTTATATATTGAAAGGTAATTAGAAAGTAATATATCAGTAAAAGTAAAAACAAAACAATATAAAAAAAAATTTAAAATAAACAAAGTTCTCTTTTGCTGTAAACTTTCATAATAAATAACGTAAAACCACATAATGACTTCTCCGAATAAAGTTATATATATATATATATATATATATATATATATATATATATATATATATATATATATATATATATATATATATATATATATATATATATATATATATATATATATATATATATATAATATATATATATATATATATATATATATATATATATATTATATATATATATATATATATATATATATTTATATATATATATATATATATATATATATATATATATATATATATATATATATATATATATATATATATATATATATATATATATATATATATTTATATATATATATATATATAGATTTACATATATACAAATATATATACATATATAGATTTATTTATATATACATATATATATTTATAAATATATATATATATATATATATATATATATATATATATATTTGTGTATATATATATATATATATATATATATATATATATATATATAAATATATATTTTTCTTTTTGTTTTACGTGTATTTATAAATATTATTATGTATATACAAACTATTTTTTATTATGCCAAATATGTTACACTACTATAAGGAAAAAAACACATTTAACCATCTCACAGTGTTAGTGTTATTAAGTATATAATT